GGAAAAAGTTCTGAAATTATTTATCTTTGTTTCAATTTTACATCACAGAAACCTGACATTTTAACAGGGGTGTGTAGACTTTTTATATCTACTGTAGCAGTCACTGGTCTTACCAAATGGGAATATTTGTATAAATCGTAGAAATTTGGCTGAAAGGTAAGAAATTACCTTTTTGAGTAATGCTAAAAAATTTATGCCCAGAGATCATCTTAAATGCAGCCTTTTCTGATGCCTACAAGTACCTGTGTTAGCCTTCATTTAATTCAGGGTCCCCAGGGAACTGTGCAGGCTGTAGAGAAGGTGTTGACTTCTGCAAGTTAAAATGGAACTAAACCTAACTTTTACAAAAACTGCAAGCTGGCAGATTTTATTTGCAGATGAAAAATGCCATGTCTCTTTACAGTAATACAAACTTACCTGCCTGCTTGCAGTTTTCTATCAAATGTACACTGAGCTGTGCATGTGCAGCTCAGCGTGCATTCCTGGCACACTTCAGCTGTGTCAGAATGACTGATTCCTGTGCGAATTTGCTGGATCACATCCTCCCTGCTGGTTAATGAAGAGGCCAAAAACCTGGAACCTGGGGAGAAGATGACAGTGGCGAAGGATGTAACCTTCCTGGAAGGTGGAGATGAGCCTACTGGGGAGTTTTAGTTTAGTTCCATTTTAAGATTAACCACTTACCCTCCAGAGGATTTACCCCCCTTCCTGACCAGGCCTTTTTTTGCTATTCAGTTCTGCACTAATTCAACTGGTTATTGCGCAGTCATGCAATGCTGTACCCAAACGACATTTACGTCCTTTTTTTCACAAAAATAGAGCTTTCTTTCGGCGGTATTTGATCACCTGTGCACTTTTTATTTTTTGTGCTATAAAACAAACAAAGATCAAACATTTTGAAAAAAAAAAAATATTTTTTACTTTTTTTACTATAAAAAATGTATAGTAAACTCAAAGTTAGTCATAAATTTAGGCCAAAATGTATTCTGCTACTTGTCTTTTGGTACAAAAAAAATTCAATAAGTGTATATTGATTGCTTTGTATGAAAGTTATAGCGTCTACAAACTATGGTATAGATACTGCAATTTACAACATTTTTGCTATACAGCGCTGCACTAGTTTAACTGACAATTGCACGGTCATGCAATACTGTACATAAATTAAATTGCACTTTTTATTTTTCGCGTTATAAACAAAAAAAAAGACCAAAAAATTTGAAAACAAAACTATATTTTCTCATTTCTGTTATAAAAAATATCCAAAAAACTCAAATTTAGGCCAAAATGTATTCTGCTACATGTTTTTAGTAAAAAAAAAATCCCAATAAGTGAATATTGATTGCTTTTGTGTGAAAGTTATAGCGTCTACAAACTATGGTATAGAGAATGGAATTTACACAGCTTTTACTTTTCTGACTGCCTATCCTATTTCTTGAGGTGCTAAAATACCAGGACAGTGCAAACACCCCCAAATGACCCCTTTTCGGAAAGGAGACACCCTAAGCTATCTCCTGAGAGGCATATTGAGTCCATGGAAGATTTTTTTTTCTCCCACAAGTTTTTGGAAAATGACAAAAAACTTTTTTTTTTTTTTAACACAACGTTGCCACTTAAATGATATATTGCTCACACAAGCCATGGGTATATGTGGAATTACATATACAAAATACATTCAGCTACCTCCACTGAGTATTGGGATACCACATGTGTGAGTCTTTTTGGGAGCCTAGCCCCTTCCTTTCCTGCGGCCCCCCCCATCATGCTGCCCCCCTCCTGTCCCGTGACCCGCCAGCCCCCCCCCCCCCCCCCCCCCCCCCGCCCCCCACCACGCTGCCCTCCATCATGCTTCTGTTCTGTGCCTTCTGTTCTGTGCCTAGGGCAGCACAAAACCAAAGTGTGTGTGTGATTTTTGCGCACCCCTGTCACCCTGTAGTAGTATTTCCACTATAGGATGGCATGGAAGCAGTTAAAGTGGATGTAAACCTCAGACATGAAACATCAACAAAGCATATCCCTCTATAGTGTATACTTGTCTCAATCCAGAGCATTAAGAGGCATTTCGCTCTGCTATCAGTATGAGTCACTTCTGTTACGTTTTCCTGACACCAAGAGAAAAATAGTGACAGGGGAGGTAACTCCAACACACAATCTGTGATTGACAGCCTCATCTTTGTTCCAGTGTGAAGGAGAATGTGTCCCTTCCCTCTGATCAGATCTAAGAGCTCTCCTCACTAAGCTCTGCAGTGTGTAATTTCAGCTATCTGCCCCCTTTCTGACAGCTCAGACAAGCTTTACCAATTATGGATTTTGAACAGATGTTGAGAGGAGAAAAATGGAGATAAACAAGTACAAAAGTTCAATAGAAAGGAGCAGAATTTTGTACAGAAAGGGGATTATTCTTAAAGTGGAACTCCCCTCCACTCCAGCGATCCAGTGTCCACAAGCTCCCTCGCTGGCCACTTCTTGCTGGTCTGCCTTCTTCCAGGTTCTGATCTTTGTCCACTTTGATTGGCCGGGCTGAGATTGCGCCTCACCCCTGCGCGTATGCAGACGTTCATTCATCTCAGCCAGTGCTGAGATTGTACATTAAGCTGTGCATGCGCAGCTCAGTGTAGATTGAAAACGGCAAGTAAGTAAAAAAAAGCTTGCTTGTTTGGCTTTTTTATTTTTTTTTTTTTTCCTTTTTAAATAAAGTTCTACTTTTTAACTTAGAGAAGTTGAGTCCTCATGTTCAACCAAATCTCTGCACTGGAGTCGATCTAGAGTCTAAAACGGGCATTTGCAGATGCTATGATATTTCTACACATCAGCACTATTGTTTTTTTTAGGCCAGATTAATTTCAAAACCCGTTACTAGACAAATTTTTATTCATATTTAAGTTTTAGATAGGATTGTTTTTTTTTTTTTTTTTTTTTTTTTTTTTTTTTTTTTTTAATAAAGGTGAGAACACTATGCCAGATTTTGGTTTTGTGTTCCCATTCAGAGTTCCTTTTATGGTACACCCCCTATGTCAGAGTGAGACAGCACAGCATGTTTGGAAATTCCTTCAACTGGAACACGGATAGCAATAAAAACCTGCCAAAGATTACATCCTTATTCACTCAAATCAAAGCATAAAAACGTTTAGGCTGGAGTTCTGCATAAATGCAAACGTTACCAAAACGCATGATGGATGCCCCTCCCCCTGGCTTCTCTGTCATGATCAGTGGCACAACCATCAACCTGTCCCTGCATGCCAGGGTGCTAGGTGTAATCCTGGACTCTAAACTCTCCTTTCAGCACCACATCCAATCATTTTCCAAAGCTTGCCGTCTCAGGCCTCCTCAACATCTCCAAAATGTGCCCCATTCCTTACCAGTGACACCACAAAGCTCCTAATTCACTCCCTGGTCATCTCTCGCCTCGACTGCTGCAACTCCCTCCTCATTGGCTTACCTTTACATAGGATATCCCCCCTCCAGTCCATCATGAATACTGCTGCCAGACCCCACCTTACCAACCGTTCAGTGTCTGCTACCGCTCTCTGTCGTTCCCTTCATTCATTGGCTGCCACTCACCCAGTGAATTAAATTCAAAATACAAACAAAAACTTACAAAGCCATCCACAACTCTGCCCCCAGCTACATCACCTACCTGATCCTTAAAATATCAATCAAATCGCACTCTTCGTTCCTCCCAAGACCTCCTGTTCTGTAGTTCCCTTGTCACCTCCTCCCATGCTCGCCTGCAGGACTTCTCCTGAGCCTGTCCCATCCTATGGAATTCCCTACCCCAATCTGCCTGACTATCTCCTACTCTGTCCATTTTTAGGCGATCCCTGAAAACTTTTCTGTTCAGAGAAGCCTATCCTGCCTCCACCTAAAAACTGTACATGTATTTTCTCCATCAACTCACCCCCCCGCAGTTATTACCTTTTGTATCACATGACCCTCCCCTTTTAGATTGTAAGCTGTAAGGAGCAGGTCCCTCTGATTCCTTCTGTACCAGGGGCGGACTGACCATTCGAGCACTCGGGCACTGCCCGAGGGCCCGGGGTCAGTAGGGGGCCCTATGAAATGCCCCTGTTACCTTTTTAATAGGCTTTTTTGGGTGTGCTTTGAATGTGGACAAGGACACAGGGGCCCCATGATCCCCTATTGCCCGGGGGCCCCATGAGTTGTCAGTCCACCCCTGTTCTGTACTCAATTGTATTGTAACTGTAATGTTTGCCCTCACATTGTAAAGCACTGCTCATACTGTTGGCACTATATAAAATCCTGCATAATAATAATGGGTAACGGTTCTATAATTATAGAAATTGCGCTGGCAGATCTAAACAAGCAGCTGGCAAAAACCATTAGATAAATTTGTATGTAACCTTATATATAGAAAATTGCCACGCTAAATGCAGTGATAAATATCCAATCATGTGGATATTTCATATGATTATGAAACTAATGCATGAAACCAAAAACAAATGAATAAAAAAGATCAGTGATAACAAAGTCCTGAGAGCAAAAAGCAAATGTAAAAGTCCCAGTGTTACTGCGCACCATAGTAATGCAAACCTTTCTTGTGTATCCACATGTCTCCCAACACCAAAATGTACCGCCACCATGGAGTCCTACCAGAACATATGGACTCTTTTAGTAAGAGCGTCAAATAGGCCTGTGTTTAAATCCTCTATGGAAAACCTCTTCTCTCCTCCACATCTCCATAAAAGACCATCTGGGATAAATGTCAGGTTTTCAGATCACCTCCACAGTGCTGCTCATGATGGGTAATACAACTCACTTGTAGCCCCCAAAAACCTAGATTTTCCACACTAGTTTGTCTGTCTAAAACATGATTGTGAGTCTCTTTCCCCTGGACAACCTTGGTCACATGGTCTGAATTGTTGAGGCAGAGCCACCAATTGGCCAGCTTTGACCAGGAAAAAGAGTTAACGAGATACAGAATAAAAGGAAATTTGACCTCTAACTTTTTATAGTGCATGATTTTTTGCTTATGTATTTGTAGCATGCCAAATGATATATGTACATGTGTTGTAGATATCCAGAGAGAGCAAGAGAAAGTCAAGCGCTCAATAAAAGACACAGCAAAGAAAGGCAACAGGGATGCGTGTATAATATTGGCAAAGGAGGTTGTGCAGTCCAAGCGGGCAGTAAATAAGCTCTATGCCTCCAAGGCTCACATGAACTCCGTACTCATGAGTATGAAGAATCAGTTAGGTAAGTCTTTTCTTCTAGGGGAGGGTTAAAGGGGATATTGACTCATTTATAATGCATGCTTGATTTTTGTCTTTCTGTGGTTCTATAATAAAGTTTTGGTGGTTTTTTTTGGATTATGTAAGAAATTAAGACCTTTTTTGTTTTTCTATCCTGGAGGAACAACAGGAAGTGAGAGGAAATCTCTTCAGATTGATGGGAAATTCTCTCTAGGACTGTTGTCACCAAACCAAGTGTCCACATTAGAAGATTTTTCACTTTTTTCAGTTTTGCATTTCTCAGTAATAATGGTCACCGAGACCGAGAAAGGGTGAATCTTAACTGTGAGAACAGCCATAAAAAAAATTAATTAGGGGGTAGTGTGGGGCGCAGGATAGTTGTTACAAATGGGTGTATTTAGAGCCCAGGTCTGGAGACTGAAGGGTATGTTTTTGTTTTGAACTTTTTTTTTTTTTTTAGGCAGCCTTGCAATGATTGAAGGCCATATAACTGCCTATATTTTGTGGGGAAACCTGACAGATTCCAAATCTTCCTACTACATCTACACTACAAACAAACTACTACAAAAAGAAAGTTCTGGCTCTATATACACATTAAAGCTGATCTAGAATTGTGTGTCAACTGTTCTGTTCATGGGCAGTATTCTTAGTCCATGTGCTGTGGTCTCATAGTTCTACTTTCAGCCACTGTAGTTGTCCATATGGCTTGGTATTGCAGATTCATAGACTCGTTTTCCAGCAATACACCCTTAAAGCGGATAGATTGGTCAGAGGACCTGCCGCCTTGTATAAAAGGCCTATAAGGGAATCTATCCTAGAATATATATATATATATATATGTATATATATCTCGAACCCTGAGGGTTACATCCTTGTGATATGAAGTAGGCATGGCAGCTTAGAAAACCCATACAGCAGAATCATTTGAAACATTGGGGTAACAGAGGCACAAAAAAATTCGACAACTTTTACAAGTTCTAGTTTTTTGAAGTTTCTAAAGTGAATGGCACTTAGAATCAGCATCTCAAATGCACTTTGCAAGACATTGTTGTAGCACAGTAGTTATAGTTTGAATTTCCCAGAGTAGTGTAGGCTGACATTTTTGGTGTGGTTTATTGCTTCCTTTTTTTTTTTTTTTTTTTTTTTTTTTTTTATAGGTGCAATTCTAATACTATCTATAGGATAGAGGGGACTCCGGCTGAGTCACAAATATCAGCTGTCGGCTTGTAGTACTCAATGAACTACCATGGCTCTGTGGATGGCCGTGGTAGTTCATTGATTCTTCCTGTCTTTATATCTGCTTGCCCATACATCCCGTACGAGCAAGCAGATATACTGACAGGTCTGCAGGAGACCTGCATGGCACCAGTGATCTGCTGATTGTTGGTGCAATGGTTTGCAGGCTCCCAAAACAAAACAAAAAATAATAAATGCTCATTTTTTTTATCTGCAAAAAAAAATGCATTTATTATTTTTTTAGCAAAAGGTGAACTTATCATTTAAGGAGCAATAAGCTACACATTTGAATTTGGGTGTGCTCCAAGCTAAGTCTTATTGAGTATTTGTGCCAAGCCACAATTTTTTCACCTCTCTAGACTTAAGTTCAAGTCATTTAAATTGTAAATGGGCACTTAGAATTAATATTTCAGATGGACTTTAAAAGGTTCTGTAGTGCAGTGGTTTTAAATTTTAATTTCTCAGAATAATGTAGGCTGCTGAGACCAGGTAGATGCAGTTCTAATATTTAATGTAGGATAATGGGGACAGTGGTGGAGGATGGGATAGAGGGGACCATGCTGGAAGATGGGATAGGGGACATTGGTGGGGGATAAAGGTACAGTAGTGTGGGGAGTTTGAAGTAAGTATTCAAAAATATAGATATACCACTTAATGTTAGGCGGGGTAATCTATTAGTGAGATCAAAGATCGCACCTATTCAAGGTATGGGTGTAAACCAAAAAAATCTATAACAAAAGGAGTAGTAGTTGCCATGAGCCAACTACCAAAGGAGGTAATAAACAACCAAGCAATTTAGCTCATGTGTAAAATCACATATTTTTATTAATCCCCTGTAGGGAGAAAAAGATAATATCCGTGGATGGTGACATATACAATCACTGAATACACATTAAAAACAATGAAAGACCAGCAATCCGGATTGCAACATTTGAATATTCTTGTGGTATTCACTTAAGATTGGTATGTGATATAAAGCAGCATATCTGCATGAATAGCTAAATTCTGCCATGTATCACAAGGCTTAGTGTTGTGAACATATATATCATACATGTACAATGATAACAGACAAAAATTTTTTGTGTCACTGTTATTATGTATGATATTTATGTTCACCACACTACGCCTTGTGATACATGGCAGAATTTAGCTATTCATGCAAATATGCTGCTTTATATCTCAAACCAGTCTTAAGTGAATACCACAAGAATATTCAAATGTTGCAATCCGGATTGCTTGTCTTTCATTGTTTTTAATGTGTATTCAGTGATTGTATAGGTCACCATCCACGGATATTATCTTTTTCTCCCTACAAGGGAGTTTGAAGTAAATCTGTGATCACTTTCATGGTATGTAAACACTAATAATTCTCTTATTGATTCCATGTAGTCTGTTAAATATATCATTGAAAGTGTTTTGTTATATCTGTAACTAGAAAAGCAAAACATACTCGTTGATCCTGCCAGAAATATTTTCAGCTGGTCAGTTAAGGTCATGTTTTACGGTGGTGGTTTTGTGGCATTTATTCTTTTGTGTGTTGTGTGGTTTTTGGTTTTGTGTTTTTTTTTTTTTTTTTTTTTTTTTTTTGGTTAAGGATTTAGTTATTTTCTATGGAATTGCTAACTCACGAATATGATTCACTGTGATATCATGAGCTGACCATTTGGTTTGTGGTGGTTGCACATGCTTGTCTAATTATGCTGCTTAGTCATGATGTCCCCCTATCAGTGCAAGTCTGAGACTGATTGATTGATAATTGGAAAGGAAGTGGTCAGCTCGTCCTATCACAGCAATGCTTTGGTAAAGGTGACCATCAGATTCCTTTGATCCAAAAAGCCATTAATGGAAAATACATTAACAAAATCCAAAAGTAAAAAAACCCCCTTACACTACAAGTATCACTTTAGAGGTGTTTGCTATAAGTACACTTTTGTGTTCCTTTTCTAAGTGATTTTCTTGTGTTGGTACAGCTGTCCTCAGAGTCTCTGGATCCTTACAGAGGAGCACAGAGGTAATGAAAGCCATGCAGAACTTGGTGAAAATCCCGGAGATCCAGGCCACCATGAGGGAGCTTTCCAAAGAGATGATGAAGGTAAGAGCAGAACACTGTGAAGTTAGTGACTCCATTATTCGGTGGTTTTGTGCAATTTTTTTTTTGTACCACGGATCAGCATAAATACAAGAGATGATAGTGATTGTAAAAGGATTTAAATTAAAGCCGAAGATAAAAATCAACACAAGGGACTGTACTTAAAATCAATGAAAGGTCTGCCTCCTCCATTCATAGATTGTTTTTCATTCATGGAAGCTATAGTATGACTTCTGTGAATAGAGGAGGGGAGGAAAAAGGTAGACATAGTCATTACTCTTAAAAAGTGCATATGACAGGTCCTTCAGCTTGTACGAATTCAGAAGCACTGGAAGATTTACAACTGCATGTGTATCAGAGGACCAAGTATTTCAACTAAAATTGCAGCCAGCAGCACAAGGGACACTTCATGTTTATTTTTAGTGTCTTTTGTGCTGTTGTTTGTTTTTTTTTTTGGGGGGTGTTTCTCATTCAGTCCATGAAACAGGGCACCTTTATACCCATTACAATAGAGCTATGCTGCCACCTTCAGCTGATAGGACACTGGCAAAAAAGACAGGAAATCTCCTCCTTGGAATATTACCTCCAGCTAAACATAGCATCAGCTTGATAGATTACCTGTGTACTTTACTCCCCGTCACCCTTAGTTCCTGCTTTTGCTCTTGTATGGTTGCGTTGTTATTATCCCTTTTATTAATGTGCCTGTGCTATTTTTACTATGTACTAAGTCCCGGCTTCCCCGAGAGGTACGCAGGCACGGTGACAGATGATGACATCGGCGATGCAGAACTTATATCTGGCAGTCATGTTGTTGCTTTCTGAATGCCTCCAATGGCCCAGCACTCACATGGCACAGGGTGTTTGCTGGTACTAACACACAGGGACAGCAAGTATTGTTATGCTTTTTGCACACAGCATTGCTGCTCACTGTTATACTACCAGAACAGGTGTTACTGGTGTTGAAATAGCAGGAACGTCTCTGGGGTACAGCCTATTCCCATTGAGGGGTTTTTTATTACCAGTGCCCTGACCTGTTGCTCTCAGCTAGTTCTGGACTGCTTTATAATTGGTGTCCAAAACTTTTGCTGGCAGGCCATGTCTCGGCCATGGCAGAGAGTAGAGAAAAATGGTTGGCAGGGCTCCCAAATACCCTTATCAGGAAGAGAGGAACCTGGCTGTAGTTCCCTTTGCAATATCTCCTCTGTAGGTCAGTTCATGGTGTTTCTGAATTCCTCTGTTTATCTGGTCTTTCCACTACCTCTGGGGAACTTTCCTCCAGCTACGTTGTGCCGAGGGAAGATTCTCTGCTGATGTTGTGGGTTTACAATGACCGCTGTTTAGAATCCTCTCTGGCTTACACCATTTGAGTTGCAAGCACCTTCCGAGGAGCCTCCTGAACAGATGGAAAGGGACTTTTCTGGAGGACAGGGATATGGAACATTTCTCTTCTGATGAATCTACTCCAAAGGAATCCCAGGGCTTGGTTCTATCTCAGACCCAAAAGGCCTTTGTGGATTTTTGGGCAAAAGTGATCCAGACCATTTTAAAATTGCTGCTTCCTGAGCCCTCTGCCCCAAAGTTCACAGCATTGGGATCATGGTGCTCGCTGCATCACCTCCCCCCATTCTTTCCCTGTACATCCTTAATTAAAGGATGTATTATATGTGGACTGGGCCCACCCTGAAAAGGTGTTCATTTCCCAAAACAATTTGCTTATTCTAGATCTCAGTGGACTCAAAAAGTTTCTCCAAGTGCAGAAGTTCTGGACGGAATCTGTCCTGTTGTTGCCTAAATCCAGAAAGGATCTTTTCTGGCATCGGTGGATATGAAAGGTGCTTGTTTGCACATTCCAATCTCCCCACCTCTCAAACAATTCCTGCAGTTTTCAATGGAAGATCGCTGCTTTCAGTTTGTGGCCCTGTCTTTGGCCTGTCCTCTACTCCCAGATTATTCACCAAGGTGCTAGCCCCAATCTTGGGGCTTCTATGTGCTCAGGATACTCCTGTTGTTGGAATATTTTTGCAAAGTGACTTTAAAATTGATTGCGTAAAAATAAACCTTTGTAATTCAATGTTCCTATAACAGTAAAACATGCAAACTTCCAAGGGGTGAATATGTTTTAAAGGGGTATAGCCAAGTGCTAATGCCGCATTTGGATTGTGGCTGCACACGTAACTCACAGCTCACTCGGCATATATTTCTTTTGTGAAGCAATCAACTTTCTATCAAGTGGAAACATAGCAGTGGTTTCCTTGGGTACACTAGCATGCTGTGTCTGGCACCTATGTGGTAGTTTGTTCCAAGCACGTTGGAGAACTTACAACACTTCAACTGCATCCTTTGGCTGACTTCCTTCTGTCTGTGCACCTAATCCTACAATGGCACAGCAATGCTGAGATTAGGGCTCTTTGGAGTCATACCATTTATTACAGGATTCTCTGTTCCTCTTTTTGCTGAATTTATTCATTTTTTTTTTTTTTTGGCCTTGTGTTTGGGGTCATTGTCATGCTACAGAATGATGTTGGAACCTGTGAGATACCTACCATATGCAATGAAGAATACACATAGCAGTGAGGGGGCCATCAGCTCTGATCAAATCACCAGCTCATTCACAGTAGAGCCAGTAGGAAACCTCAACTGCTCTTCACTGTTACCAATAGACATTTATCCATGTAGCTTTCTCTAGCCCTTCGGCAAAAAAGCAACTTTTTGTTTGTACCAGGTATTTCACATTTTGACTTATCAGTCCAGATGCAATTTGTCTGCACTCTAGTCCTTGTGTTTGTATGGACAGGCTCATCATTTTGCATTGCTTTCATTGGAGAAAAAAATCTTTCTGACCACAACCCTTCTTTGAAGGCCACTTCTGATGAGACTTCCCTGGACTAAAGATAAAGTGAGCATACGAAGGTCCCAGTTGGGCTGATAGCAGTGCTGGATATCTTCTGATTTAGAAGGGAAGTTGGCTTGCTGAATTTTGGTGTACTTGGTTTCTCTGGCTGACCATTATGCCTCTACTGAAGAGCTTGGACACAATACCTGAATACATCTGTCTGTCCATACATTTCTGAATGGGAGAAACTGTGATGCAGGATGACCACCTTTTGTCCTGTCCCTATACTCACTTTTGTCATGCTGCAACATTTGCCAGTTTTGTATAGTTCTCCCTTTCTCAGTTTTGTTACTTCTACACAGCTGTTATGTCAGTGATTCTTAGCATGTTTGTTTGTTAATTTTTGTGTATTCCCACAGGGACCTCAAAAAGGGGAAAGTGATCTATTACTATGCTTTTTTTTTTTTTTTTTTCTCTTTTGTGACCAGAGGTTGTGGAATCCTTGATGCCCAAACCTAATTTATAGTATTTGTATGTTAGTTGACTTCACCAAAAATAAGAAGTTTTTATTTTTTTTTTTCTTTCTTCAAATGTATGTGACTATTACAGTTTAAACATTGACACCCAGCTATCTTCAGGTTGTTGTGGCCTCTGCAACGTGTATTGTTTGTAGACAAGCTGACAGCTTGTATGTGATCACAACATCATATATGATTGGGTTCTGATTGATTGTAAAATACTAGAACTAGACAAGCAGCTTATGTGTGCATTGCTAACTGTGAAATGGGGAACACTGATTAACAAAACTTCAGCAGGGGACATTGTGCTGGGGAACTGTAAAGGATAAGTTCATCTTTGGGACATGTTACATGTTCCACCCTAAATACAAGCCGAACATGTAACATGTTCCAGCTCCTGCAGCCTCTCCCCCCTGTGACAGTTGTTGGGGGGAATATTCTCCCTGCACACCCACTGTCACAATTTAAAAACAGAGTGGCCATGTGGGGCTCCGCCCACATCATTCATTCAGAACTTTGTAAATGAATGAGCTACATCTACCATTGGCCTCCATGGCCGATGGCTTCTTGTTCTCCAATGAACTGCAAAGGTGCCTCTGAGCACTCTCATAGTTCATTGATTCTTCCTGCCATTCAGTAACTGCCTGCCTGTATAAGGTATGGGCAGACAGCGTGTTGAGGGTCTGCAGGATCCAGGTATTGCACCCATGATCAATGCCCTACAGGCTGCAGTATAAAAAAAAAGTGAACGCACATTTTTTTTTTTTTTTTTTACCTGCAAAGATATGCGCTCTCTCTCTCTCTCTCTCTCTCTCTCTCTCTCTCTCTCTCTCTCTGTGTCTCTCTCTCTCTCTATATATCTCTCTCTCTCTATATAAAAAATATTAAGGTGCACGTCTCCTTTAAACTACAGATCAGGCAGGACAGGCCAGAGATGACATTCAAGTATCTTATTGTATTGTCTCACAGAACATACTGTATTTTTCGAGTTCTTAAAATGCACTGTTTTCTATTGGCACATTAATAGACCTAAAATAATCAGCGTAAGCAAATACATTTTACACAATACTGTATATGTAGTAACCACTCTGCCCAAGAAAAAGGCCTAGGATGCATGTTTAAAACCCAGGGCTTATTTCTGCTTTTGACACATCACCCACGGGTGCATTTTAGATTTGGTAAAGACAATATATTGCCTCTTCTAATCGCTACATGCAGTCTGTTATAAATGTATGTGACGTTTAAATCAGAAAATATAATTTAAACGTGGGTGTCTGTCATTTTCTGCACAGTATTGTCAGTTCTCAGCTGTAGCTTCTCTCTGGTAATTTCTGGGGGTATGTCTCAGATTAAACTGAGAGGCTTCCAAGTTTTGGAATATTCTATTCATGCTCATCCTAGGCTCTGCTTATCCGGTAATTGAGTCTACTGCATACAGTTTAGGTGATGGCGGTGTGACTTCTGTATAACAGGGGTTAAGGTGTGAAGTCTGTATTGTTTGCCTATTCCTTTTAGGCTGGGATTATAGAAGAGATGCTGGAGGACACATTTGAAGGAATGGAGGACCAGGATGAAATGGAAGAAGAAGCAGAGATGGAGATTGATAAGATTCTGTTTGAGATCACAGCAGGTAAGTGCTGATAACAATAGTGCATTCCATTGGAGGATGATGATATATAATGGAGAGTACCAAGCCTGCGCTGCAAATGGGGAGAAATTATCAACATATAGATTACTGTGGACTGAACTTCTACTTTAAAGTGTATGTAAACTCTAAGGCCCCTTTCATATGGGACGGACTCCGTTTTGATCCGCTGATCCCCTGCTGATCAGAGTAAGGCAGTCGATGACAGGTCCGTGTCTGCTCAGTTTATGCAGAGCAGACACGGACAGAGCCTGCTCTGCTCTATGGGCATCTGGGAGTAAACAGACTCCGCTGTTAGTTTACACCCGTCTGCCTTCCAATCGATCTGCCTAGATGGAAGGGGACAGATCACCTTCTGTGTTTTTTTTTTTTTTTTTTTTTTTTTTTTCTGCAGACCAGATCAGATTGGGCGGTAGGCAGGTGTAAACGGACACAAGTCCATTTACACCCACTGTTCCATAGAAGTGAATGGATGGTCTGACTGACTGGCAGTGCTGATTGGACCCTTCCTGTGAAAGGTGTCTATCAGCACGTTAACATGGCTGATTAGGGCTGTAGTGTGACAAGAACTAGTGTAAATCTGTGCCAGGGATCACAGGTGTTTGTGATTAGGAAGCCTGTAGAAATCACAGATGGGCTCCATGGCTCTTCACATGTAATTGCCCATTGATCGGTTACACGCGCTCAGGAACAGATGAGTGGGCCTGGATACAAACTGTCTTGCTGCACTACAGCCCTAATTGACCATGTGATGAGGCCTTACAATAAATGTTTATTTGGTCCCTAATGATCTGTTGAATATACAATTGAGAATGTTTTGTAATATCTGTTGGGTAAGTTTTAATCCTATGTTTATCCTTTTTAAAATGGACATTTGGCCTGCATGCAATTCCGATAGGAAAAGGTTGATTATTGTCTTTAAGACAGGAAATGAGGGAAAATCTCACAGATGGGTAAACAGCAGCTAAGACATCACAGAGGTTCTAACCCCTCCCTGTGCTACTACAAATAGATTTGTTTTTGTTGCCATATCTGTCCTTGTTGGGGAGATCTCCTCTTATTTGATGTGCTGGTGATCACTGTCTCCAGGACAGGAAATAAATGAAAGTCTCCTAAAGGAGGCAATAAAAACCTGGCTGAGGTTCTTGCTCTAAAGAGAAAAAAAAATGTTTTTGCCTGTTGGGCTTGATGGATAACATCTGTTTGTTTTTTTCAGGGGCCCTTGGCAAAGCTCCCAGCAAAGTCACAGATGCCTTACCAGAACCGGAGCCAGAGTTGGAGGGTGCCACTGCCGCATCCGACGAGGAGGAAGATTTAGAAGCCATGCAGTCGCGACTGGCTGCCCTTCGCAGCTAGTGCTCAACTGTGCGGTTTCTCCAGTACTGAGAGACTTCTTTTCCTCTATATGTAACTTTCTTTTGTGAAAGTATTTGGGGTAATATATCTATCTTTGGCTTATTAAAGGCGGCATAACCCTTGTGCTGACTCCTCCCCCTGGTACCTGGTATTCACATCTTGTTTGAGAAGGAGGCATGCTGAAGGCGAAGACTGGACCTCTTTCTGTACCCATATTGCACTTTGCCCTCTCTGCTGCTGAGCGGGCTGTAATCCTAACTGGAAATAACCAATTGGATGACTTTAGCTGCTGGGCAAGGTCAGTGGATAAGACCAACAATGGACAAAGAGAGGAGTCTGCATACATCATTAATGTCATTGCACTTTGCGTAACCGATTATCACCAACGTCTTTTACATTGGCTGGCTCAGTCGCGGCATATTCTTCCTCCACCACGTGGCCTGGTTCTCCTTTAAAAGAGATTTGACATACGTTTTGATTCTTGTAACTTGCCATAGATATATTGTACACATTTAGTGCTCGTTCATATAAGGCTGCCTAACTGTTATGAATACTTTTCATTTATCGAGTACCTGGTACCTCATGGAGGAGAGCGATAGTAGCTGGTATGGTAGCGATATTATGAGCTTGGGAATTAGATCGCCAAAAAAATAGTGACATTTCCTTTCAGGTAAATATTCTGGATTCCAAGTGGATTTAAAGGGTCAGTCCACCCAAACTGATATTCTAGTTACAGGGTGGCTGCTGGTGGGATGAAGCTACTGTATCCAAAGAACAGAGGTATACCACTCGGGCAAACAATCCAGATCAATCCACGACAGGTGTAGGCTCTGGCTCCCCACCACACACGATGCAATAGGAAGAAGGGTCAGCCGCACACCGGAGGATAGATGAATATAGTGTGTATTTATTGATCCATAGGACACACAACACCAGGATGTGAATACAGGACCTGTTAACGTGTTTCACACGATCTCATGCTTAATCATAACCAGATCGTGTGATTCACGTTAACAGGTCCTGTATTCATGTCCTGGTGTTTTGTGTGTCCTATGGATCAATAAATACACACTGTATTCATCTATCCTCCGGTGTGCGGCTGACCCTTCTTCCTGTTGCATCGCGTGTTGTGGGGAGCCAGAGCCTACACCTGAAGCCACTGGCTTATCAAAGATTTCTGATTTCTCCACCTATGATTCAGGGCTTACAGGTGAGCTTTTGTCACTTGCAATCGCAAAGTTTAATCCCTTGCTGACAGTTGCTCACTTTAAAAATATCCAGTTGTCAACTAGGGGTTAAATGCTGATGCGCAGGAGTTCAGTCATCGCGGCATTGCTGCTCGTGACCATTTTATATCAGTTAAAGGAACACTCCTTGTTTTTATTTTAGAAAAGAACTGCAGTCAGTGGGATGTCTGTATCACTGCGATTTGGTAGCTTTGTTGCTGAACCAGTGACTGAAAGTGATACTAACATACGCTGTTTAATTTATATTATCCCTTCTCTTTCTGTATATGGATGATGGCACTGTAATTATTTTAGTTAAAAAACATCCAAGTACCTTTTTTTTCTAATCTGCAGCTGTCACATGACCCAGTTCTTTTCCAACCTGTCTGCAGGGAAGCTTCTGCAGGAGGAGCTTCCTGCTCTCTACTGCTGCTGATAAGTTCAAACTAAAAAAACTGCCTTTTGGAATACAGAGTTTAAATAAATTATATCCATAAACTATTTTAAATCATCATACAAACTTATATTTGAAACCAAATCTTTATATTTTTTTTTATGTCAATAACATGGCAAGAGCAGATTTCCGCCAGTCACAGGCTGTGTCACACCCCTCCAGCCTGTGTCTTTGAATAACAGGGAGGTGAAGCCTCCATCAATCATGTAAAATCCCCCCTGCCCCCATTGTGTTTACCTGGTTAGTAGGAGGAGGGAGGGAGTGGGCTCTGATTTACCACCCATATGTGTGACTCTATAGTCACATGGGCTGCCCAGATGTGACAGGGTGGAAATGCTCAGCATAGAAATTACACTAAAAACTGAGCATATGCACTAGCTGCCTACACCTGCTCTTCAAAATCCCCAACTGCAGTGGGGACATGGACAGGAGGAGGGGTGGCAGACAACAGCAAGATCTACCAGATTTTCTGCAGAATACAGAAATCGATTTCATTTATTGATAGTTTTTTTTGTTTAATTCTTATCTATTACAGGTACTTGTATAGCTCCATCAATTTACACAGCGCTTTACACACATCCACAAATATATATCTGTCCCTTCCACTAATAGGCCTTTTTGATCTTACCATTTTGGAAATGCAACCAGCCCAATCCATAAACAATTCCCCTTTATTACCATTCATGGGGCTTGGATAGATACACCAGGAATGTGGAGAGGTCACTAAGAAACCAGCTAGATTCCAATTGTCATTTTTCTAGTACATGCTAGAAAGTTCAATAAATTAGCTGATTTATCCTATGAGCAACATATTTGTTTTTTTTTTTGTTTTGTTTTTTTCTCCAGGAGAACTTGATAAAATAAAAATATAGATGCTGCCATTGCTGACTTGTTTTTGTAGGTCCATACTCCAGGATTGCTATTTTCATCCTTTTTGGTGAGGCAGTGACCTGAAACAAGCATGTGTGCATGTCAGGTGTCAGGGTGGTTGACATACTCATTGCTTGTGACTCCCCAAGCAGAGAAGCAATATTAAGAAAGAGGCCTTGGTCCACACACCTGCAGAAAGAAGTCGGCAATGGTATGTCCCATGTATGTCTCGTGACAAGTTCCCCGATAGCAGCGGATGTACCGTAACACTACAGTATAAATAATTTCTTCATGTGCAATTTAAATAAAAAATATATAAAGAAATGTAGGCTTGACCTCAATGAATAGAGTTTTGCGGGTGAGAGGAGAGCTTCATACATGCGATGCAGGGCATGCTGGGAAATGTAACACTGCTGTAGGATGCTTCTATTGCCTAAACATGGGAAGGCGGGCATTTGAAGAACTCTTTCAGGCTAAGTGGGCAATTTATGAATTATGTAGCGGTAGAAGGACATGCTTGAAATGATTTCCGCTCTGCAGTGATTAACCTCTTCTCATAAGTTGTGACAGGGAGGGTGGACCTTAATCCCCACACATTACACGTATGTAATCATGTCAGCTGAGATCACTGCGTGCTCCCAGCTTAGTGACAGAGCTGTCACAGACCACGCCCAGTCTGGCAGGATGGGCCCTTGATCATGTGACCACCGTGACAGCCAGTCATTGAGAACACATGCTTGGGAAGTGTCAAGACCCAGTTAAAGGTATGCCAAGAGAGGTGGTGAGGCCGTAAAAAAAATATACTTAATTGTAGTTTTATTTATTTTGTTTCTTTAATTAGTTCCCCCCACCCTCCTGATTATTGCCCATTAAAGCGGAGCTCCACCCAAAAGGGGAAGTTCCGCTTTAAGGACTGCTCCCCCGCTCCCCATTAAGGATTGGCACCTTTGGGGGGTGGGGGGGAGCGGGTACCCAAATTTGACAGGTACCCGCTCCCACTTCGGGTCCCACTTCGGGACCCACTTCGCCTAGGAAGGTGTCCCCTCCCTCCCTGTAGTCTTCTGGTACGGTGTGAATTTGCCCTTCGTAGGATAGGAAAAGGGTAAAACCCACCTCAGCTTTTTATTTTTGTCTGTATCCCTCTTGCCGATTTCCCCCCCAATTCTGTCTGTTGTTAGGAAGATTTTCCTTCACATTCTCTCACTAACGATCCCCCAGATAGTTGTCACGACCTCAGAGGGATCCCTCCCCACTGTAGCCAAAACTACATTAAAAGAATTTGGCTGGACTTGCACTTTAATTCCTAATAGACATTTCAGGAAAAAAAAAAAAACACGCAGAGCTTGGAGATTGCCCACTTTTCACCCTGTATGAGTTTTTACAAATGTCCCCTAATGGAAAGCCATTTTGTAGGTTGGGCCAAAATTTTCCAGGGGGCATCCTTGGCATGGTATGGCCAAAACCACATGGAAGCCCTCATATTTTCTGAAAGAATTGTATATGTTGTCTGTGGCAATCGAAATTTTTACCATTTTTTATTTTAAAGTGGAGCTCCAGTCTCGTCAAAAAAAAATAAATAAAAGTCAGCAGCTACAAAAACTGTAGATGATGATTTTTAAAGAACAGTCACTCACCTGTCCTAAGACCCAGTGGTGTGCTCACCCCAGCCGGGTCCATCAGCCGTCCTCTCTCCCTGGTGTTGGCATCTTCAGTGTGGGCACCCAGCTGTGACAGTTTGCGCCTTCATGGGGGAGTAGCGCTGTGCCTTGTGAATGGTCCCGTAGTCTTCTGGGACCTGTCATGTGTCCCAGAAGACTACGGGGAGGGAGGAGAACAGAAGTGGGAGCGGGTACCTGCCAAAATTGGGCACCCAAAGGTTCCAATTCCTCACGGAGAGTGGGGGACTAGTCCTTCCTCTTTTGGGTGGAGCTCTGCTTTAAAGTCTGTGATGTGAATAGAACGGATTGAAGCTGATTGGCTGTTGTGGTGAGAACAGAGTTGCAGAATTTCAGCAACTTTGGGAAATGAGGCCTCAGTGCGTCACTCATGTTTGATGAGACAAACTACAATTTTGACCCATTCCACAAAATGGCTTGACACAGTTGTCACAGGTATATGGAAATAAGTAAACGTCTACACTTTATTACAAATCTGAACATTTCTTTTACAGAACATACATGTTTCTAATAAAGTGTACACTTCTGCTTCGTTATTTGCAGTGGTAGCCGTGAGAGCCTGTTTTCCATTTGTGATTATATGTGAAGACATCTGTTTCCATCTTTATAATATTTATTTGATGATTATTTCTTGGAGGCGTACTGATATTTCTGGTTTAAAATGCTGAATCTTATCTGAATGCCAAAAATTCTTACAGTTCAAGTGAAGTCTGCACAATGGAAGCTGCCAGTTTATGAACAAGGCCAGTTTTCAGCACACACACTTCTGTGATG